TGTAAACGTTAAAATAAATTATAAGATTTTCCTTTGTAGTACGGTGATTTTATTATTTATCGATCATTGTACCTACAGGCACTGAAATATTAGCGCCGCGCTGCGATGAAATAGTAGAACTAAAATCGTTATTACTATCTTTGTCGTACATTATTCCCCTCCTTATCTTTTATAAGAAATATATCTATCCTTTTGAAATTATTGCATTCCTTTTTTGTGATATATGACTGCTTGTCATACGCTATTACGTTTTTTGTGCGATTTACACACCTTTTATTTCCGATTGAAACTAAAAGCATATCAGTGCAAAAGTCGATAGATGGTAGCATCTTGCTTAACCATAAACAAAGAGTGCGATAGTACGACAAAGATAAATATGTAGATCATGTACAGATAAGAATACACGATAAGGAAATCTGTTTAATCAATGATTTTATATATATCAGCAAATGATCACATACCTAGTGACTAATAACGAAACTTACTGAAAGCGGAATATCATGGCATTTTTAAACAAAATCTGTGTATCAATAAGTTTATGCGTTTTATTATTTCATGTAACTGTTGCATTTAATAAATATTCCGAAGAAGCAAATAAACCAAAATACGAAGATCCCTTGCAATTTCCAACTTCTCTTCGTGAATTGGATAAACCATTTCGTATGGCAAAATTAAATGTAGTATGGGTAAAAGCAAAAAATGTAAGTATTAATTATCTATAAAAATAGATTATTTAATTTATATGTACAAATATATCTATATGTAAATTAATTCTTTTAGCGTTTAACAGATACCAAATTACATTCAATATTCAGTGATCTGAAAATCCATGATAAGGAGGAAATTGCGTATAAACATTTTAAATCTGATGGAAAAGATCCCAATGGTGAAGAAGAAGCGCGTTTAAGAAAAAAACTGATTGGTAATTTAAGATTGAATGAAAGATGATCTTGAGTGTACGTACTTTCAATTGAAATTTTTATTTATTTAAAGGAATTATGAGCACTTATGGATTGTTAGAACACTTTGAAGATACAGAGGATCCAGAATTATTAAAGAGACATAAAGCTCTGAATGATGGTAGTAATTATATTTCCAGAGATGTTTTCAAAGATAGCAAATTAAACAATTTGTGGACTAAAGCTGAATTGGCAGGTTTCACGCGTAAGTACTATGGAAGATTGTTTGTATCTTCGATTCAAAAATGTTTGATACTGTGCTTGATAAACGCGTTCGATAGATGAAGAATTGCAAACTTTGAAGGAAGAATTTCAACATCACCAGGATAAAATGGATGAATATTTGAGTCTTTTGAAAGACGTGGAAGGTGGTGATACAGAAATACATAAAAGTTGGTAACTTCGTCGTGTGTATATATACTTTATATATGTACTTTGTATAAAATGAATTGTTTTGTATACATAGATAGTCTACATCACAAACCAGAAAGTTGGAATGAAATAAATCACAAGGAGGAAATTTCCAACAAGATTCCTGAAAAAAAATTAGATTACTTAGAAAAAGCAGCTTTACTTAGGTATGCATGTTGCCTGTGGATAATTAATACCAAAAACATTTAATGTATATTTTACAAATTTTTAAATATACAATTTCAGGGAAAAACATTTGGAGATTAGAAACGGATTTGATCGTTTGGATAGATTAACTGCAAAAGGACCAAATCACAAAGAGTTCGTAGAACCCAAAGTTCAAGGCTTATGGCGTATTGTATTACAATCTGAATTCTCTCCGCAAGAACGTTCGTCGTTAAAAGTAGATATACATATATGTAATTAAAGAAATTATATATTTATTTGATATATTATTATTATATTTTATCATTAGGAAGAGTTATTACACTACGAAGGAAGATTGCTAAAATTGCGTCATTTGCACACGGAAGCTGCTCTAGAAGCTGCACGTCAAGGACAACCATATGATTTAGACAACTCTACCATGGAGAAACATATTAAAAAATATACGAGAACTGTTCAAAAACTTCATGCAGATCTTGAAACGAGGATTTTGCAGAGACATTCCGAATTATAACACATGTATATTGATGATAGTTCGATAAATTTGCACAAATTATTTCTATGATAATTTGATTGTTACTAAAAGTTATCGCAAAGATATTTTTAATAAAGATATAAAGAGAATTTTACACAGATCTGACATTTACAAAGATTTGATTTAAGAATCGTATTATTTTATATTACGCGTACGTGATATATTTTTAAAAAGTTTATATAAAAGTATATTGTACGAATAATTTGTAACTCTATCACGTTTGTAAAAATAAAATGTGTATTATTTGATCCGAAGCTCTTCTTTGATCTTATATAACTGTATATATTTTACTTGGTAACGTACGATACGTCGATATTGCTATGACAATTGTTCGTAGATTCGAATTTCGTTCGTAACGAAAGTAAACAGTTGGATGTTTGCAAAAGCGCGAATGATTTCATTTTTTGAAATATATTGATTGTTGCACGACAAAGTTTAAATAAATCAACGATATAATGGCAACGGTAATAAAGGATCGTGTTATTCCTACTATGGATACTTTAGTTAAATATGATAATCCAGTCCTAGTCACAATTCGTCCAGAAAAGGTATAATATAAATAGATAAAAGAATAAAGCAGTTTTTATTGATAAAGCAAATACCATCTTTCTCCTTATTATATTTACAATTGAGATTACAATTTATTATAAATTAATTTATAACATTTCTTATTAAAACAGGTAACGAAAGAACAGGTGCCAAAAATCGGAGTAACAGTTTGTAAAGTAGAAACCACTATTCCTATACTCGATACAAGACGCGAAACTTCCGAGATTCTCAATAAAATTTTACCGCCTAAACAATGGGAAGAGGATGGTCAAGTTTGGACTCAACGGGTAAGATATTTTTATGTTTTAACGAGTAACTCGTTACGATGTTACGCGTATTATTTTATATCAGGTATCAAGTACACCGGCAACGAGATTAGACGTTATCAATTTACAAGAACATCTAAATATGAAGTTGCAACAAAGGCAAGCAAGAGAAACTGGTATTTGTCCAGTACGTAGAGAGCTTTATACACAATGTTTTGGTAAAGATCTTTCGTTGGATTAATTTTTGAAACATTAATTTTAAATATTACCAAAATACACTCGTTTGGTAATACCGTTTTGTAGATGAAATAATACGCCAAGTGACGATAAACTGTGCAGAACGTGGATTGCTTTTACTTAGAATTCGAGATGAACTTAAGATGACATTAGCTGCGTATCAAACTTTGTATCAAAGTAGTATCGCTTTTGGTATGCGCAAAGCTTTGCAAGTATGTTTTCTGCATTGGTTTCTCTTAACACATGTACAAGAAAGTCGATGCGTCGACAAAACTTAAAACTTCGATGTGACTTTTACAGGCTGAGCAAGGGAAGGAAGATTTGATTGCTGCCGCGGATGAGCTTCGATCGCAAAAGGCTGAATTAGAAAAAACAGTTCTCGAACTTAAACAGAAATTTGAACAAGCTGAAAGAAGAGCAGCTGAATTAAGAGAAGCTGAAGAGAAAAAACACATGGAAGAGATACAATTTTTGAAAAAGACAAATCAGCAGCTCAAGGTAAATTTTTGCGTGTAATTTTTATATCAATCTCAAATAATTATAAAAACTTCGCCGAGTTGCCATTATTTTTATTTCAGACGCAATTAGAGGGAATCGTTGCACCAAAGAGATAAAATAAAAATAATATATAACATAAAAATAGCATATTAATTTTTTTGTCTGTGTCAATTTCATTTATTTTAATTCGATAATAAAGTTGATACAAAGACATTAAGGTATTTTATTTACGTGTTTTTTTCTTATTTCATGATTGATTTGCACTTACACGTATCTTTTGTTTGCAAGTTTGTCGAACAGTGTAAAATGTATAAATACCGTTTGATAGAAAACATGGATAAATAAATATTTTTAATTTGTCAACGCGTAACAGTACCACGAACTAAGGTACTAGTTGCACGAAGCGTTCTCTTATTGCATATAAAATACATATTTTAAAATTTATTTGTATAAATAGTAGTTTCAGTTTATTGTTTGATATAACCAGGTATATTGTATTATCAAAATATAAAATATACGTAGACAGAATGTAATATTTCTCTTTATGATTGATTGTTAAGATAAGAGCAAATACAAAGATTTCAAAAGTACATACGAGTTATTTGTCTGTTGTTTAACGTCGATGTAAAGTACTTCTAAAATAAGAGTCTCCAACTATAGATTTGCTTTTATAATTAACAATGATACGAGTTCGTGATATAATTTGCCAACGTGTTATAGCGTTGAAGAGTGGCGGTATTTTTTTCATTCTGATTAATTTGTTTTTTAAGTTTAATTTCACTGAATTATTTTAATGAAATGTCGTGATTCATTCATCAAAGTAATTATGTCAAGATGTATAATTTTTAACGCTATAACTATCACGATCGTTCTTATTATACTATTTGCAATATCATGAAAAAGTTTCAATTTTTATTTGGAAAATATTTACGTTTTAAATTATTTCTAGAAAGGTATAATATAACATTGGCACAATTTCGAAAAGTAATGCCACGGTTGATAATAAACGTACGGTAAATTACGTATAAAGCTTGTATGAAAGAAAACAGCAACGTATATTTCTTTCTTTTTTATGATCTTATGAATAATTTAATAAATTGGTCCCGCTCCTTTAATCGCACTTTACACCGCGGTTAACAGTATACTTGTTTCGATTAATACTTATGCTAAGTGTTTAATTTTACATTTGTAATTTTCATAAATCTTAATACTAATAATACGGTTTCTGTTTCACTGAAAAATGTACATGATCTATATAAAATGATATTTTTATACTTAAGATGATTCGTATTCGTACCATCGCAAGTATGTGAAAAATAAAAAAATGTTAAATCTGAAACACAAGTAAAATTATGATTTTTTATCTTTTTTTTTATTGTATTGATATATATTGTAATTTCTGTAGTCTAGGTAAGTATACGTATTGGGACTACGTGAGATTACAAATTTGTTGATGTTCGGGTTCAGATTTTATTAGATGATACGTCTATTTAGTATTACCGTTATCTAACATTACCACAAAAACTTTTTAAACGAAGGTTATATTTTTTGTAATCTCACGTGTGTATAGTTGTTAAAGGTACTGTCAGCAATAAAGAAACAGTGTATATTTTACATATTCCGTTTCTTCAATCATAGTCCATATTTTATCTTCCTACTGAAATTAAGATTTTTTTTATTTTTCTTCGAGTTTTCGTCATTTTTACACGTATACTCGTTGGCTAACTTTTCTCATGTACATTTTTATGCAATCGAGATCATTATCTAATTATGACGTTAGATAACGTATGTATACTGTAAAATACGCCAACGATGAAATATAATTACCGTTGGTGTAAATAAATTAAAACAAATGAATCTGAAAGGAAATGAAATTATGAGCGCGTATGATATATTTGAAACAATTGAAAAAATTTAATGCACATTCGTTACGTCGATGGAAACTTTGATACGAGAAC